GCCCCAAATTGGGCAAAGTCCACTGGAAATTGGTTTGGGCCAGTAAAGTTATATGCATTAGTGATGCCTGGGGACTAACCCTGTATATTATTCAAATCATCTTGGCATGACAAACCAGAATATATATGGTTTAGGGGTGGGGATCTCGACCATTTACAAGATACTAGAACATTGGGGGTGGGGGGAACCCCTGGGGACTGACCCTATACGTCATTCAAATGTTTGAGACATATCGAACAGGAATATATACGGTTTATGAGTGGGGATCTCGACCATTTACAAGATATTAGAACATTGGGGGTGGGGGAACCCCTGGGGACTGACCATATACATCATTCAAATGTTCGAGACATGACAAACAGGAATATATATGGTTTAGGGGTGGGGATCTCGACCATTTACAAGATATAAGAACTTTCTCAAATGGCAGGGGGTCAGGATGACCCCTGGGGACTAACCCTGTATTTCATTTGATTTGCTTTATCATGACAAACCAGAATATATATGGTTTAGGGGTGGGGATCTCGACCATTTACAAGATATTAGAACTTTCTCAAATGGCAGGGGGTCGGGATGACCCCTGGGGACTAACCCTGTATATCATTCAAACCATCTTAGCATGACAAACCAGAATATATATGGTTTAGGGGTGGGGATCTTGACCACTTACAAGGTATTAGAACTTTCTTAAATGGCAGGGGGTGGGGGTGACCTCTGGGGACTAACCCAGTATTACATTTAATTGGCTTTATCATTTAGAACATTTTCAATTAAAAAGATTGTGTCTATCACAAACGGTTTTCAATCTATAATCATTTGAAAATTTTAAAAAATAAAATCCCATAGGGTTCTATAGTAAAACCCTCTTTTCTTTTTGCCCCTCAAAGTACCCCTTTATAAACCCCATTGCACAAACAAAACCCTGATTGCACCACTAGACATGTTAGTCTAACATACTGTGAAACCCTAAGTTAATCTGACAAGCGGTTTTGGAGAACGTGTGCGGACAAGTTCAAATTTAAAAGCGGCGGAAGAGGAAGAGGAAGAAGAAGAAGAATAATAATAATAATAAGAACTGAGCAAAAACAATAAGTCTTCCCAAACTTCGTTTGGGAGACTTAATTATGCATGTACATTGTCAGAAAATATAAAATTTATTTGTTCAAGATTTAGAAACAGGACAAAAAGCAAGGCTCATAGAGAGTATAAATAAATTTCATATTTCCAACAATGTACATATATTGTTTTTATCCTACAATTTACACCTGGCGCTTTAAGGTTAAGTTTTTTAATTCCAAGTAGTTGTCTCTGATTTTTCAACATTTTTCAATGAAATCTACATACATGTAGTTTAAATGAGAAAACTATCCATCCAAGTTCAAATCAAGTGGATGTAAGTAATTATAAGCAACTGTATGGCCTACAACAATGAGAAAATCCCATATCTTATAGCCTTCTTTAAAAGACCCTGACTTGAAAAATATGGAACAATTCAATTGAGAAAACCAACATCCTAATTTATAACAGAACAATTTACGAAATAAATATGACAGACATGAACCAAAAACAACCACTGAACTACAGGCTCCAGACAGGCAAGTTAAGAATGTGGCTGGGTTAAACATGTTTGTGAGTGCTCAACCCTCCCCTAACCTAGGACAGTGGTGTTACAGCACAACAAAAGAACAAACTATAAAAATCAGTTGAAAATGGCTTAACTTATCAGATCGATACATAGCAGAAAAAACATCTAACCAAAACACAGACTGGACATGGCAGGGTATTTGTACATCCCTAACAACAAAAGACACAAAGTTCAGATCTGAAAGTACTCACAGTTACTGACAGCTAGTTCAAAGCGAATAAAGAACTAATAAAAGAAATTTTGTATAGAATGTTATGATAAATGCACTTTACTTTGTACATCTCAAAAGTAGTGATAAAGTTTGGAAAATTGATAACTATCAAGCCAGCCACATTAGAGTTTTGATTGCATGAATCTTTACCCCAAAAATTGCAATAATAAATGCACACCAAAAATCTGAATTTACAGTAAACAATTAAATAACAATGAACAAATCTATTATTCCCAAGAAATGTTAAAAATATGGAGACAGCATGAACTGAGACAAAAATGTGCATTGAAATTTACTTTTATTGTATTCATATCATACAGTAATTCTAATTATAAACTGATATAAAAAGAATGAATATTCAGATAACATAACAACTGAGTATTACCAAAACATGTGTAAAAACTAAAATAATGCCATCATTTGATGTTCAAAATGTATGTTTCTGTGGAATATAAATAAACAAGAATATGTGCATATAACCATGCCCTGCTCCCACCATTATATTTCCACGTTTGGGAAATCTGGGTCAAATTTGTCTTACAGTTTTATATTTTACATCAAAATGAACATGTGTACTAAATATCTAGTTCATGTGAGCACAACTTCATGATAAAATAACTTTAATTATAACAAATACCTGACACAAAACAGAAGAACAGATGGATGGACAGAAAAGAAAATGCTCTCTATAATTAAAGGCCACTAAAGGCAGGGCAGATGCAATACAAGATTTGAACATATAACATATATGTATTGTAATTTATGAAAAAAACTATTCCTAGCTATCAGCTTTTAATAGCTAATACTTAAATTAGCAATTTTCCAGAAAAATGTGTTGCACTTAAAAAATTGATACACTATAAAATGTTGTTTTTAGTGATGTGCATTGATGGAAAGATCAAGATTATGCTTGGTTTATTGTCTGAATCAAAAGTTTTTATTATTTGCAATTTTTAATAACAAATATGAAATTGGTTGTTACTTTATAAATAAAATCATGTGACAATTGCTACACATATAGATCATGTGACAATTGCTACACATATAGATCATGTGACAATAATTTTGCTACACATATAGATCATGTGACAATAATTTTGCTACACATATAGATCATGTGACAATTAATACACATATAGATCATGTGACAATTGCTACACATATAGATCAATCTATTTACAACAAATAATCACACAACACAACAAATGTCAATTGACAGTTAATGGAAACAAAAATCATGACAAATTACTTTGCCATATAAAGAAAAAAATGTGTATGTAAATATGGATAAAACCCAAAGGAAGAGCTATTATCAATAAGTGTTAACACATAATCATTGACTAGATAACAAAAATGGTTTTTCATTACAATGGTAATTCACAAACCATGTTAAATTACTTTGCCACATATTTTATTCCAGTTTTGAATTAGTACAAATAAAACAAATTTGGTTTTTCATAAAACTGGAGAAAAAATCACTATTTTTTTTCTCAATAGTCTCATGGAGTTATTACATCATTTTTGACTAGAAAACAACAAAAAAAATCAATGTAACTAAAAATAAATTCAAATATAGGTAAAAACAAAACCATTCTTAATTATATCCTAATATATTCATCACAAACTATAATTTTGACAGAGCAATTATAATCATATCTTATAGACTGTAGGATGACCTATATATGTCTTTTATGTTATTTGTATTGTTGGGTTTCTGTCTCATTGACATATACCCCATATTTTCACTTTCAAGACCAAAAAAAAAACATGAGTGCACATGCAGAAATATCTCACCTGCTTTACTGACCATTGAATTTATGTTGATGGTCCTAAATATGAAGTTTTACCACAAATATCACATAAACATAACATGATCAAAGAAAATGAGGTCATGGTCAGATAAACCAAGCCAGAAATACATGTACGCCTTACAATCATTCCATACACCAAATATAGTTGACCTATTGGTTATAGTATACAAGAAACAAACTTAACCAGGAAAACTTAATATTGACCAATGAACCATGAAATGTCAAATAAAACCTGCCAGACTGACATGTATTTCCTAAAATATTTCCATACACCAAATATAGTTGACCTATTGAATACAGTATAAGAAAAACAGACCAAAACACAAAAACTTAACTTAAACACTGAACCATGAAAAAGAGGTCAAGGTCAGATGACACCTAGATATATACTAGACCTATTGCTTATAGTATCTGAGATATGGACTTGACCTCGAAAACTTAACCTTGTTCACTGATCCATGAAATGAGGTTGAGGTCAAGTGAAAACTGTATGAAACACATGAGGACCTTGTGAGGTACGCACATACCAAATATAGTTATCCTATTGCTCATAATAAGAGAGAAATTAAGGTAACAAAAAATCTTAACTTTTTTGCAAGTAGTCACTTAACCATGAAAATGAGTTCAAGGACAATGGACATATAACAGACAGAAACTTCATAACATATATATATGGCATCTTTATACAAAGTATGAAGCATCAAGGTCATTTACTTTCTGAAATATTAAACTTTTAAGTAGTTAGATAACGCTGCTGCCACCCCCAGATCACTATCCCTATGTCTTGCTTTCTGCGACAGAAGTTGCAGGCTCGACAAAAAAACCCAAAAAAGGAAAACAATTTTTATGTTACAAAGATAAACTTTTGATTTTGAATTAAACAAGTCCATTTAAGGTCTCTGTGGTATGTGGTTTTGGACTGAAGCATGAGGAAGATAGGTCTAATCCTGTCAAGGATGGAAATTCATTTACACCTCTTATGTCTTGTAAAATGAAAAAATCTAGGCAGACTAACATGCCTCTAATTAATGGCTAGTTTCACATGTTTTCTAAGCAACATTTCACAAAAGAAAGATCAAAGTAATCTCCAATCTCCTATATATAGGTAGACTTTTGGTCTTAATCATATCTAATTCAGGTTATTACAAATAAATGAGGAATGTGTCCATGGGACACAGATGATGCCCCCGCTTGCATATAAAGTTATAAAGGGACATAACTTAAGGACGGTAAAAGTGACACTACCCAAATTTGTACTTGATCTGAGTAATTGTTGTAAGAAGCATTGTGTATAAGTTTCATAACATTTGCTTGAGGCAAACTAAAGTGAGAGAACGGAAACGAAAAATTCAGCAATATTTCCATTTGTAAAGGGGCATAACTCTAGAATGGTAAAAGTGATGCTACCCAAATTGAAACTTGATCTGTGTTTTGTGGTAATAAGCATTGTGTATAAGTTACATAACATTTGGTTGAGGCAAACTAAAGTTAGAGAATGGAAACCAATTTTGGGACATACGTACGTACAGACGGACAAGGGTAAAACTTAATGCCCCCTCTGCTACGCTCCCTCCGCTACGGCGGGGGCATAAAAATATGACTGTACATTGAAATCAATATACAAAATTTACATCAATTTAACAGAGAAGCATATAAAATATGTTCTGATCGTTTCATCTCTTGTGTGCTTTGATTTGTATACAATTTGAATGGTGAAAGTCCTCAAATTCACCTTTGTTGATATGTTCTTATTACAAATATCACATGAGGATCACATAACAATAAGTCACATGACAATCAGCTGTTAATCCTCTCTGTATTTATAATGATAGGTGAGTCACTGTTTTTTCTCGATGGTTCAGATGACACTTGGTAAATCTCACTGTCATAACTAAAACTGACTGTATCTCCACGTATGTTGATTAAACACTGAGCCTACAATACAATAAACAATAGGTTTATACTTTTTATTTTGATATGGTCTTCTAACTATTTGATTGATGAGTCTTATGTAGACAAAATTTTAAGCCTGGTAACTGTTATGAGTTTCCTATGAACAAGGAGAGGAGAGGGAAGATGGTTGTTTTAAGCCTGGTATCTATTATGAGTTTCCTATGAACAAGGAGAGGAGAGGGAAGATGGTTGTTTTAAGCCTGGTATCTGAGTTTTCTATGAACAAGGAGAGGAGAGGGAAGATGGTTGTTTTAAGCCTGGTATCTGAGTTTTCTATGAACAAGGAGAGGAGAGGGAAGATGGTTGTTTTAAGCCTGGTATCCGGGTTTTCTATGAACAAGGAGAGGAGAGGGAAGATGGTTGTTTTTAGCCTGGTTTCTGAGTTTTCTATGAACAAGGAGAGGAGAGGGAAGATGGTTGTTTTTAGCCTGGTTTCTGAGTTTTCTATGAACAAGGAGAGGAGAGGGAAGATGGTTACATAATTCAAACATCTTTTAAACAGTTTGCCTTCCATTTTAATGCAATTGTTTTTAAAAGAGAAGATATATAAACTCTAAAACTGCTTGTGGAAAAAAACATTTAGTTCAATTTATGTTAGTCTTTCGATACCTACTGATAACAATAAAACAGTCTGTGTGATGTAATAGTAGTGCTCATATGCCTGGAGACAGGCTCTGATATGTTATAATTGTGATAATAAATCCGTTATAAGCAATAGATTAAAAACAAGAGGCTCTCAAGAGCCTGAATCGCTCACCTGTAATTTTTTGCTTAAATCTTTCATCAATGAATATTTTTGCTTTTCAATATATATTAATGAGTGGCTTAAAAATGCCATTTAAATGTTCTTTGTATCTGACATATTTTATTCAAAAGCAAAAAAATGCATTTTACCCCTATGTTCCATTTTAGCCATAGTGGCTATGTTTTTTGACGTACAAGGAAATAAAATACAAAATTTATTGTAGATACTCTGAAACTGATTCAGCCCAAGTTTGGCTGAAATTGATTCAGCAGTTTCAAAGGAGCAGATTTTTTAAAGTAAGCAAACTAGATGAACAAATTGTGAAAAATTGTCTTTAAAGGGCAATAACACCTTAAGGGGTCAATTGACAATTTTGGTCATATGAAACTTATTTGTAGATCTTACTTTGCTGAACATTTTTGCTGTTTACAGTTTATCTTTATCTATAAAAATATTCAAGATAATAACCAAAAACTGCAAAATTTCCTTAAAATTACCAATTTAGTGGCAGCAACCCAACAATGGGTTGTTAGGTTCATCTGAAAATTCAGGGCTGATGGAACTTGACCTAATGAACAAATTTACCCCATGTTAGATTTGCTCTAAATGCTCGTAGTTTTTGAGATATAAGCCAAAAACTGCATTTTACCCCTATGTTCTATTTTTGGCCATGTTTTTTGATGAAACATAAAATAAAACACAAACTTTATTCTAGATACCCTAAGGATCATTCAGCTTAAGTTTGGTTGGAATTGGTTCAGTAGTTTCAGAGGAGAAGATGTTTGAAATAGTTTACACCGGACAGACGACGACTAAGGACGACGACAATGCCTAGTGATGGCAAAAGCTCACTTTTCCTTTGGAAATGTGAGCTAAAAAACCATTGCATTTTATCAGAACCTTTGACAATAATTCAAACAAAATAAAATAAATGACTATTTCAAAAGTTTACCTGGTTTTTATGTGGATTACACATCAAAACACATTCTGTCATCCTATATGCCACCATACCATTGCCACCCAATCCTGCCACTGTGGCTCTGACATTGGCTAGCACTTCAGCTATAAAGCTTTGCATGAATCCACCAAGGCCACCAATCTACAATACAATACAATGCAACTGATCAAACATTAAAATCAAAGAAACTGTGCTTATTGTCATGCTGAGCATACCCTCATTCTTATTAGATGTATTGGTAAATAGTCAGTAGGTGTGAAAGTCAAACAAAATTGTAACGTAGACTCATTGTAAAACCATAATAAACATACAATTCCATAAAATTATAGCAGAAAGATAAATATCTCCATTATTCTTCATCTGTTTTTAGTGTAGAAATGACGTTTCTCTACTATACCAAGTTGCTACATATTTCTCTTAGGGAACCAGTTTTTCTACAATACAAAGTTGCTACGGGAACCAGTTTCTCTACAATACAAAGTTGCTACGGGAACCAGTTTCTCTACAATACAAAGTTGCTACATACCTCTCTAAGGGAACCAGTTTCTCTACAATACAAAGTTGCTACATACTTCTGTTAGGGAACCAGTTTCTCTACAATACAAAGTTGCTACATACCTCTCTAAGGGAACCAGTTTCTCTACAATACAAAGTTGCTACATACCTCTCTTAGGGAACCAGTTTCTCTACAGTACAAAGTTGCTACATACCTCTCTTAGGGAACCAGTTTCTCTGATAAAGAAGAAGTTATAATGCCCTAAGTATCTTTCAATTCTTCCTCTTGGAATATATGGCAGAGGTGTCAACTCAATACCCACTCGGTGTTTTGGAAATACCTGTAAATCATAAGTAAAATGTATGTATCAAATTATCACAACTATTTGAAATACTTGTATATCCCATGTTAGGGTTGGAATTCATATTCCCCAAATCAATGTTATAATTCTATATGCTCTGTAACTGCGTGCATCATTCTTGTTAATTAATAGACCTATCTTATTGATTTATTTTGCCTTATTTATATATACTGGTACTAATTCACACACATTGTATTTTAATGGGTGTCAATGAAATCGTTGATTGGAGAAATTTTTTTATTTCTATGGTTTAAAGATAATCTCCAGACAAACTAAAATAAAATTTGTATTTTGTTGAAAATTTTTTAATCCACAAAAATAAGTATTCCATACATAATACTCAATCTACAGCAACACAATTTCTACTGGAATCTGATGTTTGGTTTACATCTTTGGTTGTGTACGTTAGATATTTATAATCTTTCAACCAGTTTAATTGAGGTCTGGAGTTGACATGTCAGTAACTGCTAGTAGTCCTTTGTTAATTCATGTTGATGATTGTCATTTTACTTAGTTTCTTTTGTTACCTATTCTGACATCGGACTCTGACTTCTTTTGAACTGAGTTTTACTGTGCGTATTGCTGTGTGTTTGTTTATTCTATATTGGCTAGAGGTATAGGGGGATGGGTGAGATCTCACAAAACATGTTTAACCCCGCCGCATTTTAGCGCCTGTCCCAAGTCAGGAGCCACTGGCCTTTGTTAGTCTTGTATGGTTTTAAATTTTAGTTCATTTATATGTTTTGGAGTTTTAGTGTGACGTCCATTTTCATTGAACTAGTACACAATTTTGTTTAGGGACCAGCTGAAGCCCGCCTCTGGTTGCGGGATTTTCTCGCTGTGTTGAAGACCCATTGGTGGCCTTCATCTGTTTTCTGCTCTTTGGTCGGGTTGTTGTCTCTTTGACACATTCCCCATTTCCATTCTCAATTTTATTTACAATCAGCACGATCTGTGTCCCTTGTTGTAATATATGTTGACATTACTGGCATTTTTTTTTTTTTTAAATTTTAAACAAATTTTATTAATTATCACCTGTTACATCAACCCTAAGTTGTCCAGGGAAGGAACTAAGGGGCCCCCGCTTTTTTACAGTCTCATTTGTCGGTGAAAATGCAAACGAGGAAAAAAACTCCCATTATAAATAATTAACATCTATCTATATAATTATCATCTATCTATATATTATACATCACACCATATATAGCCATTTGAATAACGTATTCATTCTATCTGTATATTTTTTCTCACAAGAGCAACCTATATATATATTAAGTAGCTTAGATTTTACAGCACTTCATTCCGTTCTTTTGTTGTGCTAATTTCTATAACATCCCAGTCGAGTGATCTCGAGTGACATTACTGGAATTTATTTATTAAAGCAAAAGCTATTCATATCTGAACCAAAAATCTTACAGGTTGTCAATTTTTACTTTAATTTTGGAAAGAGCTGAACAAAAAGTAAGAAGTTGAGACAAAAATTGCAAGGGAAATAACTCAAGTTAAATTTAAATTCATAAATTTGTTTCTTCTTGGGCAATTTTGGTTTCAATACCCATTATGATCCTCAAGAAAAATCTTGATAGAATATAAATGAACTGACTAATTGCAAGTAATAGGTTAACAAATGAAGGGGTTTTACTGCAAAGAGTTATATATCCAATGCAATTTACAACTGATCCATCTTGTTAAAGATATGCTATGATTTGATGTGTTTCCCAATATCAAAATAAGGAGATGTGTCTAATATTTCTCTGGACAATGATTCTAAATCGATTCTTAATGACCAATTTTAAAATATCATTCACCTTCATTTACTTTACAAACTTTATACATTTTAAATAACTAGAGTGAATTATTATACCTCAGTGTTTTTTTTCTTTATAAAAAAGAATGAAATATTTGTGCTATTTCATTCCAAAGACTATTTGCCAGTCAATAGTTTCAAAGACTATTACCCCGGTCAATAGTTTTATAAACATATTTCCCGTACTTTTGCATACTAATTTTTCATTGGACAACAATGACGTCATAGACTATTCTGCTTGGATTTGTGCGCTAGGCAACGTTGAACTCTGAAAATATCGTAAACGGTATAATCTGTATGTGTCTGTCGTCCTAAATTCAAATTCATATATTACTTACCAAAAGCAAATAAAAAAGAAAAAGAAAATCTACGCGACATGTTTTAAGAACTAAAACATAACAAATTTATGGTATGGGACTGTCGTGGTCTTCATAATCTGGGATTGCTTTGGTGCATAGTAAAATAAACAAGAAATGATTGTAACAGGATGCTGTTACGAAGTCTCCCAAACGAAGCTCCCATAATTCGTAATTCCCAGGGCCGTCTGACATTGGGCAAAGTCCAGTGAAAATTGGTTTGGTAAAGTTATATGCATTAGTGATGCCTGGGGACTAACCCTGTATATCATTCAAATCATCTTGCCACTTACAAGAACCCTTGGGGACTGACCCTATAAGTCATTCAAATGTTCGAGACATGACGAACAGGAATATATATGGTTTAGGGGTGGGGATCTCGACCATTTACAAGATATTAGAACATAGGGGGTGGGGGGGAACCCCTGGGGACCGATCCTATACGTCATTCAAATGTTCAAGACATGACGAACAGGAATATATATGGTTTAGGTGTGGGGATCTCGACCATTTACAAGATACTAGAACTTTCTCAAATGGCAGGGGGTGGGGGATGACCCCTGGGGACTAACCCTGTATATCATTCAAACCATCTTTGCATGACAAACCAGAATATATATGGTTTAGGGGTGGGGATCTTGACCACTTACAAGATATTAGAACATAGGGGGTGGGGGGAACACCTGGGGACCGATCCTATACGTCATTCAAATGTTCAAGACATGACGAACAGGAATATATATGGTTTAGGGGTGGGGATCTCGACCATTTACAAGATACTAGAACATTTATCAAATGGCAGGGGGTGGGGGATGACCCCTGGGGACTAACCCTGTATATCATTCAAACCATCTTTGCATGACAAACCAGAATATATATGGTTTAGGGGTGGGGATCTTGACCACTTATAAGATATTAGAACATTGGGGGTGGGGGGAACCCCTGGGGACTGATCCTATACGTCGTTCAAATGTTCGAGACATGACGAACAGGAATATATATGGTTTAGGGGTGGGGATCTCGACCATTTACAAGATATTAGAACTTTCTCAAATGGCAGGGGGTGGGGGATGACCCCTGGGGACTAACCCTGTTTATCATTCAAACCATCTTAGCATGACAAACCAGAATATATATGGTTTAGGGGTGGGGATCTTGACCACTTACAAGATATTAGAACTTTCTTAAATGGCAGGGGGTAGGGGTGACCCCTGGGGACTAACCCTGTATTTCATTTGATTTTCTTTATAATGACAAACAAGAATATATATGGTTTAGGGGTGGGGATCTCAACCATTTACAAGATATTAGAACTTTCTCAAATGGCAGGGGGTCGGGATGACCCCTGGGGACTAACCCTGTATATCATTCAAACCTTCTTAGCATGACAAACCAGAATATATATGGTTTAGGGGTGGGGATCTTGACCACTTACAAGGTATTAGAACTTTCTTAAATGGCAGGGGATGGCGGTGACCCCTGGGGACTAACCCTGTATTTCATTTAATGTGCTTTATCATTTAGAACATTTTCAATTAAAAAGATTGTGTCTATCACAAACGGTTTTCAATTTATAATCATTTGAAAATTTAAAAAAATAAATTCCCATAGGGTTCTATAGTAAAACCCTCCTTTCTTTTTGCCCCTCAAAGTACCCCTTTATAAACCCTATTGCACAAACAAAACCCTGATTGCACCACTAGACATGTTAGTCTAACATATTGTGAAACCCTAAGTTAATCTGACAAGCGGTTTTGGAGAACGGGTGCGGACAAGTTCAAATTTAAAAGTGGCGGAAGAGGAAGAGGAAGAAGAATAATAATAATAATAACTGAGCAAAAACAATAAGTCTTCCCAAACTTCGTTTGGGAGACTTAACAAGTAAAACTGTGAGCTACTGCTCACTGATGATACCCCTGCCGAAATATTTCGGTAAACAGGAAGTTGTTGAGTGATGAATCTGAAAACGCATCACACGGTATTGCTGACTTATATAAACCCTGAAACCAAATTTCAGAAATCCTTGTCAAGTAGTTCCTGAAAAAAATGTGACGAAAATTTTCAACTTGGCTATCATGTGTAAAATAATACAAGTGTTTGGTAAACAGGAAATTGTTAAGTGATGAATCTGAAAATGCATCACACGGTGTAACTTACTTATATAAACCCTGAAACCAAATTTCAGAAATCCTTGTCAAGTAGTTCCTGAGAAAAATGTGACGAAAATATTCATGGGATGGACGGACGGACTGACGGACTGACGGATGGACTGACGGATGGACTGACTGATGGACTGACAGAAGGACAGACAGAGGTAAAACAGTATACCCCCACTTTTTTAAAGCGGGGGTATAATCAGCTTGTGTTTATTAATTGCACAGGAATTCTTACACATTGAAGGATTCCTGGTCTTGATTACAGTAATTAAAATATTGACAATTACCACACAGGCTAAACAAACCTGATAGATCATCTTGTGCATGTCTATGTGACTATTTGGTGTTTTTCCAAGTGGTGTATACATGTAGTCTTTTTAGAAAGTCTTTTTTTCAGTATAATAAAACACTTAATGACTGGTTATGAGGGTAATAGCAAGTTTGTTGTCCCTGAGATACCAACTATTGCTCGAGGCAAAGAACTATCTTACCACAGGAAATAGTCTTGTTTGTTCTGTTTTTGTCTGTTTTGCTCCTGAAAAAAGTAAACAATGTTTAGGAAATTCTATTGTCATTAGTTCTTAAGTGAAGTACTTTCAAGATAATTATTATTTTGGTTAAAAATCAAATAAGATTCTTGACAATAAACAAATAAGAATAAAAAGACATTCACAATTGTATTATAATACACTATGAATGCTTTCTACAATAGTTTATTATAGTGATATTTTTATTAACAAGAAAAATGGATTATTAATACACAGCATGTTGACATGTATCATCGCACATGCATTACCTGTCCTTATTGCCGATTGGGTATTTTATTTCAGCTTATATCTATTAATAACAACCAATGATATAAGGAATTCCCTACTGGCCACTCTTGACATCTCGCTCTCTAATTGCTTTGTGAGATGTGGGAAGGGAACCAATCAGAACAAGGCCCTTATTTCAAATTATCCAATCGGCAGAGATAATTAATTAATTATCATCCTTTTGTTTTAATTACTGCGCGCCTCATTTAGGCATTCTAGATAATACAACTGCATGAAGCAGACGCATTGCAATTTGGCATTAGCGAATTTAAAATATATATATATATTGTCTTTAAACATCGGAAAATTTTTACGGGAAAAATTGGTTTAAATCCTTGGAAATGGATATTTCGGCAACGTTGTTAAAACCAGTGAAAGTATAGAGAACTTTTGTCTGAATAGCTGAATTCCCGAGAATGATATTTAACAGTGATACACTGTAGACTTTTGTGCACATTCCGGCGATGGAATTTATTGAGATCTGCTGTTGACGTGTGTAATCCTTGCATACCGTGTTCTGGTGATGGAATTTATTGCGTTTCCCTGTAGACTTTTGTAGTTTTTATCCTGCACGCTCCGGCGACGGAATTATCCGAGTCAGAAATGCTCTGCTTTAAACTTTTTTAACATTTGTACCAAATAGTTTATTTGCGACTATAGGCGATATGGCGAGCGACAGTGAAGGCGAAGTAGATTTTCCACGTAATGTCGAGCAGGTACAGATGTGGGCATCCACAATGAAGCTGAATCCAAACACAGCTTCCGAATTAATTAGACTTGGCTTCGATTCTATGGAAGCGATTTCATTGATTGAAAAAGAGGATATGCCAGCTTTTAATATTCCGCTTGGGCAGCAAAAAGTGTTGATACGAGCAGTTGGAAAAACTTTCAAGGACGGTCGCGCTGAAGCTGGGAATATGGCGGACACGCACCCTTACGGAAATGAAAACGAGGCTACACAGAGAACTTCCGCTAGGATACAAAATGAAGGCACCAGCAACCAAGATGGCGACGGTGTAAACAACAAAGATGGCGACGATGTAAACAACAAAGATGGCGGCGCCCATACGTCAAACCCCCGATCGGAGGATGCCTATGTGCAAGAGATCCTAAAGATGATGTCGAGGGAGAAGAACATTACAGGACAATTTGTGAATGACTCTCATAATTCTTCCACAGGTAGAGACAATTTGCTGGTCAATGACATTTACTCATGGAAAGACCCTCAAATATTTTTAAAGTCTACAAATTTTGATCCTAATGTGAATTTCTTTGATATAACTGATTTTGTACCTAATACTTTAGGGTGGCACTCAGAATCAGAGGAATTAGTTTCGGAATCGTCAGGGGGCAAATTAGTTTTCAAATCGGGGCCTGTCAAGCCTAAATTAGAAACATTGTCGGTAACACAATGGTCTATGGCTAATTTGTCCATAATGCATAAGTTGATAGCTATAGGAGAGTTACAATCATCCCAAGTTATGGATTATTTATCTTATACTATGCGCATTTATCTTTTTCTTTCGAGCTGTGAGTTGGTGTCTGTTTTTTTCCTTGATCGGGAATACCGACGCCTGCAAAAGCAACACCAATTTAGATGGGGTACAGACATTCCCCATCTCCATTCTGTATTTTTGAGGCCAAAGTTTTTGCAGAGTCAGAATTCCCGCATTGCACCTCAAACTCAGAGCTCGAAAGTAATGGCTAATAAACATGCAGTTACATATGCTTCTCATTCTCCGGGGGGGAGGATGATTTGCAAGAAATTCAATAGTCGTAGAGGCTGTTTTATGCCACACTGTAAGTTTGAGCATTCATGTGCTATACCTGCATGTGCTGAAAAGCACCCAGCATTTCAGCATACAAAAAACTAGATACAATGGTGAAGCCTACGCGTGCTCTTGATCTAATTTCATGGACTAATGAGTTAAGTGATGATTTTGACAAAGAATTTTTGTTATTTGGCATAGAACATGGATTTGACATTGTCACTAATGTCCCCCTACCAGAGAATGTACGCTCCAAAAATCATCCTTCTGCAAAGCCTAGTAGCCCTTTTTACAAACAGGCACATAAACAAATTTTGAACAGAAATTGATAACGGAAACTATATTTTTGTCAATTCCCCCCCCCAAAATTATCAGTCCGCTTGGGGTTATCCCTAAATCTGATGGCGGAGTTCGAATTATTCATGATTGTAGCAGACCAATAGGTTTTGCAGTAAATGATTTTGCAGGAGAATTTGATAAACAAAAATTTCAAACAGTAGATGATGCATGCAAGTTAGTTTCAAAAAATTTTTATATGTCAAAAGTGGACCTAAAGGCCGCTTACAGATCTGTCAAAATAAGTGTACAAAGTAGAGAGGTCACTGGGCTTACATGGACTTTTCCTGATGGTCATGATTATACTTTCATAGATAAAAAACTTCCGTTTGGATCAAAATTAGCACCTGGTATTTTTCATAGATTATCTCAGGCAATTCGCAGAATGATGTCACGTAGAGGCTTCACCATTGTGGCATATTTAGATGATTTTTTTTTATTTGCGAGAAGACAAAGAAGCGCTGCGCTCAGGCGTTAGCAATTTTAATTGCGCTGCTCAGGAAGTTAGGTTTTTGTATCAGCTGGTCTCAAGTAACAGACCCCTGCCAACAGATTGTATTTTTAGGGGTTGAGATAGATTCTACTACTTTAGAAACTAGACTTCCTATTGCAAAATTGCATGATTTGAAATCAGAATTAGCTGAATTTTTATTGCGTAAGCGTGCTTCAAAAAAACAATTGCAATCTTTAGCGGGAAAGCTTAATTGGGCGTCTGCTGTGGTTCGAGGCGGGAGAGTTTTTCTCCGTAGAATTATAAACGGCATCATGCGATTAAAGCTAGATTGGCATAAATTGCGTCTGACAGGCGAAATATTGCAAGATATAAAGTGGTGGCATAACTTTATTTCAACTTTTAATGGGAAGTCAATTTTACTTTCAAAGGTTCCTATCACCTCTGTAGCTACTGATGCTTGTAAATCAGGTGGAGGGGGTGTCTATCAAAATGATTGGTTTTATGTAAATTGGGCAGAAGATCACCCCTTTGCTTTGAAACTTCACATAAATGAATTAGAGGCTTTCTCAGTGGCGTTAGCAGTAAAGCGATGGGCCCCATATTGGCGTGGTCAGCGTATTATAGTTCATTGCGATAATGCGGTAACTGTAAGTTGCATTAATAAAGGTACATCAAAAAATGCTATTTTGATGTCCTTTTTGCGTGAGCTCTTTTGGTTATCAGCAACGTATAATTTTCACTTGATAGCTAAGCATGTTCCAGGCAAAACGAATATACTAGCAGACTGTATTTCACGGATGCATGATCTACCTTTCTGTGAACAATTTTTGCGTGATTATGTTCGACCGCCACTGTATTTACAGGATCTTGTTAGGCACATGTCTAGTAATGCCCTTCGTTTTCTTTTATTTAGGCTCACTGGTATCGAGGGAGGTGAGATCACTGGATAGTATTGTTGCTAACTTTAGATGTCATACTTATGCTGAATCTACCAAAAAGACATATTTAAACTATTTCAAGTCATACGCAGAATTTTGTAGAAGATTAAATATTACCCTTGTTCCATTAAGTCCTATGAATTTAGCCAGATATGTAGCCTATTTATCTTCAAGGTTACAATTTAATTCCATAACAAATTATTTGTCAATTGTGCGGTTGCTACATTTAGAATCAGGAGTTGCATCTCCGATAGATTCCTTTTTTATGGAGTCAGTACTCAAGGGTGCTAAACGTGTGTTAGGTGCTGCCATACATAGAAAATTGCCTATTACACCAAAAATTTTGAATGAGATATTTACTTTACTGTCAGTCAGCAGTAGTAAGGACTTGTGTTTTTGGGCAGCCTGCTTAGTGGCTTTTTTCTCCTTTTTAAGGAAGTCAAATTTGTTTGCCCCTTCAATTTCAGCTTTTGATCCTTTGCGACATTTTACTCGTGAGGAAATCCATTTTCACTCAGATGGTGTCTGTTTAAAAGTACGCAAAACCAAAACAATTCAATTTTCAGAGCGTATATTAGAAATTCCCCTTCCTAGAGTGAAGAATTCTCATTTATGTCCCTCTAAGGCGCTTCTTTTAAATTTTAAACAGGTGCCAGCAGTGTCAGCCCCCTCACCTGTCTTCCTGTATTTAGTACGAGGCAAGGTTACCCCTCTTACATATACAGCCTTTGTAAAAATGCTAAAACAGAACTTATCTAGGTTGGGTTATGACAGCAGCAAATATTCGGGACATAGTTTTCGCAGAGGAGGGGCCTCCTTTGCCTTAGAATGTGGGGTTCCAGCTGATCTCATACAATCACAGGGTGATTGGAAATCTAATTATTATATGGGTCAATATCCCCAATGCGCCTCCAATTGAGGAACACAAAAGTTGTGTGTAAACAAAAAATCTCTGTGTAGTGATATTGGACATGTTTCAATTTTTAACAAGTGACTGAGCTTAACCATTTGTGTTGATCTGGAAAGTATAGGACCATAGAATAAATGTGTAAAAACTATGGAGTTATTATATGTATTCAAAGTATTAAATTTTCAAAGAAATTATTGTGTGAAAAAAGGGACTTTTTACTATGAAGAGCCGCATCACGAAAAGATTTTCGGGGTATGCTAATTTACGGAAAAAATGAATCACACTTCGTACCCCGAAAATTTAACCACATATGTGAAAATGTCTCAGCTTCGAAACGAACCATCATACATATCCAAGTTTACGATATGGACTGAGCTACAGAAGAAAACGTTACCATTACCGCCTATGGAGAAACAATTGCGCATATCGCCCCATATGATATTTTTTTAAAAAGTTAAGAGTTGTTCTTATTTTGAAGCTAATTTGTTGAAGAATGCTGGGATTTGTATATTCTACCCTATTTTAAGACATGTGTACCTCATAAGGAACTGAATTATTAACCCTGCACCCTTGTGTAAAACTGGCTTGAGGAAAATTGACCTTTTGTGAGCCCCTTTGTAAAACATAATGAAAGATCAGACATAGGAATATTTACCCTTTAAAAGCCCCTGTATACTATATGATCAAAAATCAGACCATAGGAATATTTACCCTTTAAAAGCCCCTGTATTCTACATGATGAATAAACAGCTGCGCCATGAGCTCATGATACGCCCGTCGCTTTTTCAAAGAATAAAGTTCAATAACTTCTCAATGACATATCAGAAATTTATAAAAAAACTAAAGGGAGGTTATCTTAATTGATATAAACCAGTCACCAAAGTTTCATGAAAACTGCTCAAAGCTCTTTACAGATATTATCTGAACACTGGAAAATCACCCCTTTTTCATGAATAAAATCCCATAACTCGGAAATGTAAAATCTAAAATTTATAAAAATCGAAAGGGAGCTTACGTCAATAGATATAAACAATTCACCAAAGTTTCATGAAAACTGCTCAAAGCATTTTTGAGTTATTGCCCAAAAACTGGAAAATCCCCCTTTTTTTAATGAATAAAACCCCACAACTCGGAAACGTAAAATCTAAAATTTATAAAAAACGAAAGGGAACTCATGTCAATAGATATAAACAATTTACCAAAGTCTCATACAAATTGGTTAAAGCATTTTTGAGTTATTGTCCAACATGTTGACGATGGACGGTCGGTCAGAGGGACGGACGGACAGAGGTATACCATAATATGTCTCGTAAACTGGCGTATAAAAATCAGACGATAGGAATATTTACCCTTTAAGAGCCCCTGTATACTACAAGATGAACTGTCTGACAACTCTTCCATCTGAAACATCATGTCTTCTTGTTCACTTCCTTTACTTATTTCACTGGCAGCTGTAACAAAATGGAGTCAGATTAGTGGAATTAACCAATCACTGCAAAATGCCACTAAATTTGAAAATAAATAGGAACAATTTTTATACTTTTAAAGTTTGCAACAATTTTACTACAATTAAGAATGTTTATGGTCTTCCTAGGCCCTATCCCTATTTTGCAAACACAAACATGTTAACTTTAATTGTTCTGTATCCAAATAAGTATGAAGTATATGCCACTTTATGTCTAATCACCAAATATCAATCAATCATTTTATTCATCTTAGCAACATGAAAAGTGTATCACTGGTAAAAAAAGTAAAAGATTCAGGTTTTCAGACTTGTATTGTATAAACAAACCTGTTTTTAACAAACTACTTTTGCTGACTGTAGGTAAATCTATTACAGATGAAGTTCTGGTGGAAACATCAGATAAACCAATACACACTCCTGTTAAATTTATCTGAAATCATAAAGGAAAAAATACACAATATAATTAAATTAATCTGAAATGATTAAACCCAACATACAACCTTGAATAACATTGAAATTGACATTGGCCACTAAACTTAAAACAAAAGAGATGACTTCAGTTTTCCAATTGTGATCTTTCTATATGTAGCAACATTCCAATAGTCTCTGCATGTGGAGTATTTATCTCCCATTACAAAATGTATTCTGGATTTTTTTATAGACAATTGCTGATTAAAAGGAGGAAGCTATTTATCCAAGGGCTCTCAATGGTAAAGATACATTCATCTCTTCAAAAGAAAGTTTTTATGAACACCATGGTGACCATGATTTGGTTGGCTATTATGGAATATCTGTCTGACAGATGACCATGGAAATGTTCCCTTTGTTGTAGCCACAATTTCTACCTCCTGTATCTGTTTATGACATCACAGAATGTGACTTATCATTGTATGTTTTGTTTGCCATGAGCAACAGTACAGATGCCACTTTTGGAGGTGGCAACAGTACAGATGCCACTTGTGGAGGTGGCAACAGTACAGATGCCACTTGTGGAGGTGCCGACTCTTCTAGAGTACCTAGGTTAATTCCATGAATTTTTTTGTGGGGTTCATGTAGCTCAATCTTTAGTTCTCAATTCTGGCTGTATTGAAACATCTCTAAGGGACAAATTATCTTTAAACACAAATTTACAGTCTTAACAATGATTTTTTTTTTAAATATATAAAATAAATCATAAACTGTTGACATATCTGCTGTTTGTTTGTTTGTTTGTCTCCAGAAAAATCAGACTACATATGAGATAGAAATGTCTTCTAATCTTTTTGTTTATACAGATTATGTGAGAAAAAAATGAATAGATCCTTTTAAAATTAGTATCTCTACTAATCAAAGGGAACTAAATCTATAATTCCATACCTGTATTTCATTTTCCTCTGGAAGGTCTATGTTAAAGTCCAGATTACACACACAACATGGAGCCATTTTTCTCAACTTGAAACAAATTTTCTGTAAATAAAAATAAAAGATTGTTTCTGATCTGCAGATAAACAGACCTTCTGAATTCTTGTTGTCCAAAAGCCATAGTCATGTTATAAGAGCATAAAAAAAAAACTTATATTATAATTGATCTGAATTAAACTTATCATAAAAAAATAAAACCAGAAAACGCTATGACTTTGGTCACAAGAACCTTTTAGGTGTTAGATTCAAATTTGTTACTGATGTTCATGTCAAATGAAATGAAACATGTAGACAAAGAATGATAATGATGCTTAAATTTTTAGCTGTAAATGTTGGAATGATTGATAGTAGGTTGCTTTAAATCCAACAATAAATACTGCAGGCAAATGTTTAACATGTCTAACCCTGCCTGATTCTGTATGTGACTACTATAAGTTACTTACATCCAAGTTATGTGGTATCTGATAGATAAGTGTTCTCATTGGCAATTATACCACAACCTCTTGTATAAGATTAGAAGTTTTCAACACTTAATCCTACTTACCCTGATGAGATTTTCAAACATATCTGACAGTGCACTGTTACTTGTTACAGCGGGGTTAAACTCTCTCCGCAAAACCTGGGTAAACATCTAACAAAATAAAAAAAAATACCCTCTTAGTACAACTAAATATAGTGAATAGTGTAAAGCAGTTCCTATAGATATGTCTGTGTAATAACAACTAAATTAGCCCTACACTTCAAACCAAAAAAGGAAGAAAAAAACATTATAGGAATTTTTAAAGTCTAAATTAGGAATGTCAAATTTTACTTTATTCATTTTTTTTCTTTATCTTAGCCTCATCCTATAAATGATTATTAATTTGTCTATCCCTGAATGTAAAGGTACCATTATCCACAGGTTTCATTTGACTCTGATTTTTCTTTCCCATTTTAATTGAAAAACTTCTGCAAATCTTCATTCCTTAAGCTTAAAATGATTTTACTCAATGTAGTTCCAGAACAGAATTTTTCTGAAACTTTGATCAATCAGAATCTTGAAAGGTCACTGTCAACCCTGTTATTAATGTGTTTTTTTTTTTCACTGATAATTCCAAATTTCATTTCAGATTGGTCCTGTTGTTTTCATCAGGAAGACTCTGTATCTCAGATTTTTGACACAAAACTATTTGACTTGTAGTCAAAGGGAGGTAAATCCAAATAAGAAATTTTAGCTAAACATCTTAACTAGGCAAAAAAAGCAAGAAAAAGACAAAGAAGTCAACAAAAATTCGTAAAAACTAGAAAAGTGTTAATACTATAGATAAAAAACTCTTAATTTCAAGATAATGGGTTAGCTTTGAAATAAAACATATATTCATACATCTTCTATCAACTTCAAATTCAGTATAGGACAAATACATTTAGAAGTAAGTTAAAAAACAAATTTCGTACAGCAGACATATGGACAGACAAGGGAAGAACATTATATTATGTGTCCTATTGAAGCCTAAACGTCTCCTTTTTGTGAACACAATGGTGACCATATTTCAAAAATGCCCAAACATGTCCTACCGATTAAATTTGTTTTTAATATGTTTTCGTCCTAAACATGCATGAGATATTTGCCATTTGACATTAAGCATCCAACAATCAAGCAATATTTTGTCTTCAATATGCATGAAATAATTGTCAGAAAATTTTAAGCAAGCAACAGTCAGTTAATCCATTATTTTCTGTTAGTTGATTATTACCTCTGTAATAATTTAACGGTATGTGGCAGTTAAAAAGATCATCACCTTTAAAGTATCTTAAATTCACATCTTGTAAGTTATGCATACTGTTTTAACTTATTTCAACATTACCTTTAAGTAATACATGTTTTTCTAACGATTATAAATTATTAAACTGGTATCAGGGATGTTAAAAATACATGCAAACTTATTACTCTTGTTTATATGTCTCTTTAGTGAATATACTGTAAAGGTAATTGACGTTGCTGAGGACATATTAGCACTTAAAGTTTTGAGACGTTCTGGCATTTTAAAGTGGACATGTTGGGCAAATAGACACGTTTTGGGGGAATCTGACTCATTTGGGGCGATGAACATGTTTGAGAATGTTAAAAAATATATTTTATTTACCTAAGAATTAAAACTTTCAATATTCTATCCATAAACTGAGATGCTAAGTAGCATTGCAGCCCAATTACTTTTTTAATTCCATTCTAGTTTTCTCATAAATACCTATAGTTGCTTATAATCAATTGTATATCAAAAGTTTGGCAACAAATGACACATTTTGTACAAGAACTTTACTTGTTTTACATTAGTAACTGATTCATATCTGTTTGTTCAGAGATAGCAATCATTGTGAGTTACCTGTAAATTACAAATCATATTTTGGTCAGTAGTACCAGGCATTTTCTGTGTGTTACACATCTGGACCCAATCAGGTAAAACAGAATCTCTCAGTAATGAGGCAATGTTTTGGTCCCTGGTGTCATCCACCTATCAACAAAAAATTCATCTAAAGATTTTTTTTCTTGTTAAGAGTTGTTTTGGAATAATGATAGATTTTCTAGGTTAATAGGAAGTAATTAAAGATGAATGGCGCCACTTAGTTTTTAGATCAAAGATAATAGGTAGAAGTACATTTATTTTCTGCTGCCCTGGTAATTAGAAAAACAAAACTGAAATATTGAGAAATGAATGTTGGCTTTTGGTGTAGAAATAGTGAGAAATTTGGAGGAAACTCTCTGTGACGAGCAACATTTTCTGTGCTAAATTAAGCAAGGGGTGTTCTTCATTCATACTATTTCGAAAATAAAGGAAACCATTGGGTTTAACCTTAAAAAATGCTATCAAAAAAGCTGTGGCACCATATGTGTTTTGCAGTTTTATGCACACCCAAAGGTGTTGATAATTCAGAATTTGACAGTTTTATCAACAGATCTTTTATACTAAAAACGCAGCACCCAAAAAAGCTATCGTTGTTGCCTATGTAAATAATTACTTCATTTTAATCTCTAAGTGCCTATATCCAAGTTTAAAGAATATAAAATTGACTACCTTTATAATCTACTTTATAATATTTGAGTAAGTATATGACTTAAATAATTCACAGATATTAATAATAGGTAAAATTACTCATGTAATAAATTACGATTCCTCTCATTCTTCAGTGAGATATATTTTTCAAAGATACTTTTTACCAATAAAGTTCCCATTGATTGAATTATTCACAAATGATGTCAAAATTTTCTTGCAGATAAAATGAACACAATTTGTTTGCAGATCACCTGCAGTAAGAAAATATCACTGTTAATATAAAAAAAATATTATAGATACAGATAATACCACTGAATCTTGTGAAATAATATATTTCAGACAGTTATGCTAAGCAAGTCTAAAATTTGAAAGTACAAAATTCTAATAACTGTCTAGAGTGGAGAAATGTTATATCTCATTGGAAACCGTGGAAGAATCTACCCCTATATTACATATCACTTCACCTCTAAGATGAATGTATCTTTGTTCCCTGTTGATAGTTCCAGCTCAGAGACATCATCCTCACTGTCATCTGTCAATAAACTTCTAGGGCTTGTCTGACCAGTGTCCTGTAAAAAGAGAGAATATTGTTAAATATATTCAAGTTTCCTGTCCAGAATTCTGAATTTTAAGCAAGCAAGACTGCTGACATTTCTGTCTACATTTATGTCAGTATCCAAACTAGTTCAATAACCTCACTTTCATCTGTCTGTCACCATAGAAAAACAGTTACATTTTTTTAATATAGTCAATAAATCAGCTGTTTCCGATTTTATGAGGTTAAATAGTTGAGTATGTATGGCTGTAAGACAAATGATTAGTACTGATAATGTGTTCAGATTTGCTGGTGAGCTTAAATTTCACTCTACTAGATCTTTTTTTATTTATGAAATAAAAATAAAAGAACAGAGTTCCAATGTCCCTCTCGTTGCACATATTTTATCTGTTCAAGGTCAATAATTAAAAACAAAATTTTGTTTTGTTTTTTTAAACTTTTTAAAATTACCTTAGAGAGTTGAAGACTTGAGAGCAATTTCTAATATATTTAATATTTCCAAGGGGCATAACTCTTTACAAATATTTGATCGGCAATTATTTTCAAAACTCTCCGTGACATTGCTAATATTAACCTTTGATATGAATTTGATTAAAATCTGGAAAAAATTGTACATGTGAGAGCGTGTAACAATACAAATTTCCATATAATTAATATTTCTAAGGAGCATAACTCTTTTAAAAATAACTGATCGGCACTGATTTTTAAACTTATCTGAGACATTGCTGTTATAAACAGTATGATAAGTTTCATAAAAATCTGGCAAGAATTGTACACATGAGAGCACTAGCATTGCAATATTCCAAATAATTAATATTTCTAAGGGGCAGAACTCTTCAAAAAATAACTGATCGGCACTGATTTTCTATCTCGTCCAAGACATCGCTGATATAAACCTACAATATAAGTTGCATAAAAATCTGGCAAGAATTGTACACATGAGAGCGCTAACAATGCAATTTTCCATATTATTAATATTCCTAAGGGCCATTACTCTTTTAAAATTTATTGATCTTCACTGATTTTCAAAGTCTTCCAAGACATTGCTGATATAAACTTATGATATAAGTTTCATAAAAGTTAGGCAAGAATTGTTTATGTAAGAGCGCAAACATGAACAGACAGACGCCCGGAATTTCTATTTCCCCCTGCAGCGCGTTGCGCGGGGGACAAAAATGTTCTTGCATTGAAAATGCATAAAATATTTGCTGCTGAAAATTAAACTAGGCATCAATCATACAATTAGCTCCCAGTTAATACAATGATAACATACATTAACCTCCACTAAAACTTATTTATCAGAAAGAATTATCTGATTTCATGTACACTGTCATATGATTTATTACCAATGTATAAATTTGAAGGAATTTTGGCCTTTATTGTGAAAAGACAGAGAAATGTATAGATGGATGGATGACTTCCCATTCAAACTTCACAGCAAAGAACATAACATTAAATCTTTAAATTGAAACAAATTCATCTATAATCCAAAAATCTGACCACACAAGAACATGTTTGATTCAGTTGGGATAAGAATTTTATTTCTGTTCCCACTCCATGTGACTACTGCCACATGCAGCCCTTGTAATTCTTAAAACCAGGTTTCTTTCTCATTTCATTTGGTTCCCATTACTTTACACTACGTTACATTTACCCTTACTCCATGTAAAATGTATCAATAGATATAGGAAGATGTGGTATGAGTGCCAATGAGACCACTCTCTATCCAAGTCAAAATTTATAAAAGTAAACCATTAAAGGTCAGAGTACGGTCTTCAACAGGGAGCCTTGCTTCAACACGGAGCCTTGGCTCTCACCGAACAGTAAGCTATAAAGGGCCCCAAAAATTACTAGTGTAAAACCATTTAAACGGGAAAACCAACGGTCTAATCTATATAAAAAATGAGAAACACTTATGAACCACATCAACAAACGACAACTTCTGAACATCAGATTCCTGACTTAGGACAGGTGCAAACAATTGCAGCGGGTTTTAATGCATGAATATCAAACAAATCTAAAAACTTGAAAAGTTAAGTAAACTATTCAACTAATTAAGTATTGTTTATTTAATCAACTCTTAAACTGTGTGTTTTTTATTTTCGTTGGTATAAAAAAATGATAATATTTTACAAAAAATGTATACATTACACATTATTTTAAAAAAAAGGTGCTAAGAAATAAAAATAGTACTTCTTAAAATTGAAAAATATGAAACATTCTGGAATTATCCATTTTTCTTGAAAAAAAACCCCATTAAACACATAATGGTTTATAACTTTCTAAAAATTAACGTTGAACTGTATTCAAACCTCAAAAGTATTCAATAAAAAACATGACAAGCTGGTGACAAATTGCACATTCAAATGCATATTTGTGATCAGTTCCCCGTCACCAAGGACGATGTCTAGGCAATTATCCTCACATAAAAAACTGAATGAACAATCCCTTTCTATAAACCCCCTTCATTGTCAAAAGGTGTATAATCAAAGTAAATATAAATATGTAAATACACAGGAAATATACAGGTTTGTTACAATATCAGAATCAAACTGATTAGGAATATCTAAGGTAAGATTAAAAGAAAAAAGGGGGGATGACAGTTATTGCGTACATTAGATGCCTTTTGGGTATTTATGTCAATTGGGTGTTGTCTCATTGTCATTTACTCACATTATTCAATATCTTTATAGTTCTAAATGTCATATCATATTTTTGTAATCATTATTTGGTACAATTTCATTAATGACTTATTTTTTGTTTACCAAATGTTTCAAAAAGAAGTCATAAAATGGATAAATGTTGAAAATACTTTATTTCAAAGTTTCCTTCACAAATATTAATGGGTAATTCCATAACAAAATTTTGAAGATTTATTTTTTTATTATGTCTTTTCATTAGTTAATTCAAATTATTATTATCACTTTTACCTATTATTATCATGAATAATTATTTTGATTGTTTTTATTTAAATCTTAATCATGTAATTCACTGCTTCAGACAATTAAGTCATGTATAAATTTGATATAAAGACAATACTGACTACTAAATACACATGTAAAGTTTTATGTTGAAACATGGCTTCCAGCAAAGACCTTACAATCCGTAAAGACATGCACAATGAATAATCATAAACATCTTAATCCACACCCAAAACAATTTTAATAAGTACATCTACCTTTATAAGGTGTTGTTAGGGTCAAAAATATTTTCAAATTATTTCAATTCTAATTATTAAAATATTGAAACATTTCAAAATAACAAAAACAATAAAAATTTCTTCTCTAAAAATAATACGCATTTTCACATTTATCAAAGGATAAATTAAGGATGTCTGAATCAGTATATTTGATCTTTGTCAAAAAGTACAATATAGCTAGCAGCTACTAGTCAACATCTCTGCGTCCTGACAAATATATACCTGGCAGATACGTTTATTACATAGGTGTGTTGACAAAGGAACACTGTAACAGCTAAGGTATGTTTCAGCAACCAAATATCACACATTTTATTTCCTATTTAACTTAATTCATAAACTAAACTATTCTATGTAGGATTAAGAAATACATTTGGAGAGTTGGAAGATTCATAGACTTTTATTTCTTATTCATGTACATTATTTATATATAGTTTAACTTTTGGAATTCAAATAAGATCAAGTGTGGTAAGTTCAAATGTTTTAAATTTTATTTCTACTTCATATACTGGTAAGAAATTCAGAATTTTAAAGAGAATTCTTGTTGTGTCCAACATGAGCTTTGAAGTCTAACATTACAGTATTTAAGAGAAATTGTCCATTAGCCTTCATCAGCTTCATAAAGGGAAATCTATTCAAATTCTTCTTTCTGAAAAGATCTGAGAAGAGTTGCATGACAACCTCCTTAACCGTGAAATGATTTTTTAGAGGTAAATGATAGAAACTGAACGACAGAAAATAGAATTACAATGTTTTAAGACACATTCATTTAGTAATATGAAAAAAATATCAACTGAATGATATTGCATGAGTATAATTAGTTTAATTTCAATTTAAAAATTCAAAAGAATTTTTTAAATGAAAATTTAATGGAACAAATATTATGAACAATTGCCTTAAAATTGTTTGTTTGAATTGATCAATTTTTGTCTTGTGAGAAAATTATAAGGGGAGAAGGTATTCAGGTGAGATTTCATCTCCCTCAACAGAGATCATACTTTTTGGGGATGAGGAGTCTTCCTCAAGATTTGTAAGTGTTTAACAGGTATGCATATGTTAAAAAGATCGTTTATTTTGTTTCTTACTTTATAAAGTTTCTAAATACTAAACAGAATTAAGACTAAATAGTTGATGAGTTCATTCATTGATAAATATATATACATTTCTATGTCGAAATTAAATTTAAAGTATCATATACTCATATGTAATCTGTATATTCCATTATGAATTTTACCCATAATGCTCAGTTTTTGATGATGCAGATTGTGTATCAAAGATCATTACTATACATGTACTGATTTTAATGTTTTCTCTTCTTTATCACCTCTTTTAAACATAAGGTAGACATTTATATAACCGTTCATGATTTCTGTAACACTTGACCACCCAAACTGACCTATAGATATCTTTTGTTTAATTGAATTTTCAAATATTTTGGCCTCCAGCATCACTGAAGAGACATTAATCGTTGTAATGTGCATCTGGTGCAGTAAACTTGGTACCATTAATGTTGTTGTCATTGGGTTGCTGTCTCATTCTGATATTACAACACATTTCCTTTTATTCATGTGTTTTTATTTGGTTCATTTTGGAAATAATATAGAAAATGAAATTATTTTATATTGTTATTTAGAATCCATTAAATCTTTTCCTATCTAAGGGGAATAACTCCTGATCAGTATACTTACTTTCATGTTAACCTTAAGTTTACAATAAAATTAAATGAAATAATCAATATTTTCATTAACCTTATTTATCATATAGATGCAGTCAGGCAGAAAGATGAATGACCAGATGGCCATAGACAGATGGGCAGGGTGAGTACTAATTTATACCACCAAATTATTATTGTTAGGTGCAAAAAAAAAATGAATAAAAATATAAAAGAAGAATGTGCCCATGGGACACAGATACCCCCGCTTATGAATATGCAAGAGTCAATGTACTAATTCAACCTAATGACATTTTGTTTTCTTTGAAACTAAATGACATTTGTTTCTGTATGTTGTCATTGTAAATTGCTTGGGGGTTTAAGTGCTCTCAAGGTTCAATAACAAACAGTAACGGGGTTACTCTAGAACGGTGAAAGTGACGCCACCCTAATTTTGAACTTGATCTGTGTTTGGTGGTAATAGGCATTGTGTATAAAATTCATAACATTTGGTTGAGGCAGAGAAAAGTAAAGAGTTAGGAAATGGAAAATTCATCAATTTCTCCTTTTACAAAGGGACATAAATCAAGAATAGTGAAAGTGACGCCACCCTAATTCGAATTTGATCTGTGTTTGGTGGTAATAGGCATTGTGTATAAAATTCAAAGCATTTAGTTGAGGCAAAGAAAAGTAAGAGTAATGAAACAGAAAATTAATCAATTTTTCCATGTACAAAGGGACATAAATTAAGAACAGTGAAAGTTACGCTACCAAAATTCGAATTTGATCTGTGTTTGGTGTTAATAAGCATTGTGTAAAGTTTCATAACATTTGGTCATGACAAATAAAATTGGGAATGGAAATGGGGAATGTGTCAAAGAGACAACAACCCGACCAAAGAGCAGAAAACAGCCCAAGGCTACCAATGGGTCTCCAAAACAGCAAGAAAATCCCGCGCACGGAGGCAGGCTTCGGCTGGCCCCTAAACAAAAATATGTACTAGTTCAGTGAAAATGGACGTCATACTAAACTCCGAAGCATATAAATGAACCAAGATTAAAAAAAACATACAAGACTAACAAAGGCCAGAGGCTCCTGACTTGGGACAGGTGCAAAATGCAGAAGGGTTAAACATGTTTTGTGAGATCTCACCCATCCCCCTATACCTCTAGCAAATGGTTAGAGAATGGAACCCAATTTCAGGACTGCATAAAAAACACATTAACCTGTGATAATCAAAAGATGTCTTTTCAGCATGTTCTCCACAAGAATTAAAATAGCCCTGTGGTATTTTCGTTTTTCAAGTAACTCAATGGAGAAAAAAAAGTTAAGTTTTCCTTTATAATAAACTGAAAGATTAAACATTTGTTATTGCATTTTTAGTCTTATATTTTTCATTTCCAAGTTGGTTGTTTAAATAACACTGTTAGTAATTTTTACAATTGATTTTTATGGTCTTTTAGAGTTAGCCATATAATGTGGGCTTGATGTAAATACTGAATGTTTATTTTTATTAAAATAAGAAGATTTGGTATGATTGCCAATGAGACAACTCTCCACCAGAAACCAAAAGACATAGAAGTTAACAACTTTCATCTTCTTTCTTTTCAATAATTCCCCCATTCCATGGTCTTCCCTCTATTGTAGAAGAAAAATGTCTTTTTCCTCAATTTCCAATTTACAAAGGATTTCAGGTGGTTTGAAGGAAAAATAATTAAAAGGATATCAAAAAATATTTTAATTTTTCCTTTAGCAATATCAATATCTATCTAAATATTATTTGATTCCTAAAAAATAATATAAAAACAATAAAATCTTTTCCCATTTGTAATAACACCTTTTTTAAATTGTCTAAAAAGAAGAAATAAATAAAAAAAATTTGGAGATAAAAGAAAGAGAACAAAATCTATGGCTGTATTTTGACCTCATAATACAGCCAAGCAATTTCATCCATTTAATCAATCTGTCCATTTTGTTGAAATATATATGTTATTTGAATAGGAAGGACAGAATTACTGGTTACAATGTACTAAATAAAGTTACATGGGTGCAGCCATTCGTGAAGGGAACATGACATAGAGATGAAAATAGCTGGCTATCTGTGATTGGTTGTTATATCATTTCTGTATTTTTCTCCTGGAAAGCATTATGAATAAAGTTTCATGCAAGCACAAATTTGTCCTCAAATGTATATGATCAAGGGCCGGAAATGTTTTTTATTTTGATCAAAATTGGGGAAAATTTCTGCGAAATCGTAAGGTATGGTGAATAACCCAAAAATTCACCAAGAAAAGCCATGGGACCATATATATTTAAGTGCGGTAAAATCACAAATAGATTTTGAGCTCAAATTAGACAACAGCAGTTTTTCCATAAATAGTTTATTAAAAACACCATTTAAGGAGATAATTGCTAAAAATAGCATTGCCGGCAATGGGGCCAACATTTAGTACTTTATATTCTACTGGCCAGCATTGTAGTTGTTTATTTTTTCTATCTAACCTGGTAATACTATGTGTTTTGTTTTTGTATTATTGACCTTTGACCCATATCTACTTATATTCAATTTAACAGTTTGAGAGCAGACAACATGAGTGCTTTAGAAGAAAGGGCTACAGTTATGTTGTGGGCAGCCTTACACAGACAGGATATAGGAGCTGTACAAAATATGATCCGAGATGGAGTAGATGTCAACGAACAAGATATTGTAAGTCATATTAACCATTTAACAAAGGACTTTTCATCGCTGTTCATCATCTAAAAGTCACAGTGAGAGACTGTGAGACCTCATGGAGCAAAATTTCACACCTGCAAGTTCTAAACAACCTCAGTGCCAGTTTGAGTAGAATACTGCCAGTTTGAGTGGAATGCTATATGTAGTACAATGTGCCTTTGACAGCACTAATATCAGATAGTGTCAACAAATTAAAACTATAACAGACAAAGAAATCTATAAAATACTGTTGTAAGATACAGAAACAATACATGTACTTATATTTAGGCAGCCAGGGGCGACATCACAATATTTCAACGTTTCATTTCTTTCATAAGGAAAGTGTCACAAAACAGTTGAATATTGTCTTACCGGTATATATATATATAAATTTGTTGGTTCAGTGGTCCAGAGTGCTGGACAGTGCAGGCAATGTTGCCACGATGTCAAAGAAGCATGGGTTAGAATCCTGCTGAGGGAAAAGCAAATATTTGGTAACTCAAAATGCAGATCTAACATTGCCGGGCTAAATTTGAGACAATTATATATAAATACTGTGTTAACCCTGTATAACCACAGGTTATCTGATGGAGAATGTGGTAAAGTTGTCACAGGTTTAGACATATATATAATATATATAGATATATATATAACTTAACTTACAATCAGCAAAGGTATGACTAATGTCAGTGATGTTTATGCATCATCAGTATTTATGATTTGAGAGTATTACTCCATCACAATAATGACAGTGTGATCAGACTTTAAAATGTATCTTCCTTATGATGGTTACAGCCATTTGATATAAGTTCTCACAAACATCTCATGTACTTGGCTTCCCAAACTTTGGATAATTAAGAAAGACAATCTTAATACTTAAGAAGGTTGAAAATAAAAAAAATAAAGGATAATAAATTCAACACATAAGCAGGCAAGGAAAGTTGTGTCCTTTCCCACCTCTGTCTGGAAAACATATCTTGCTTTCAGAAACAAACAACTGATGAAAAAACTAGATTGTTGTTCACAAAATAAGCATATAAAGATCCATTTGGTATGCTGTGAAGTAGTTTCAATGATTTCTACATAAAGAAACACTAATGACTTTTTGTAGAAGAGGTTGACAGCTAGGGATGGATTTCTATGTAACCCGAAAAAGTCATAGTGCAGGGATCTAGTATGAAGCACATGTTTGAAGCATTTTTTTAAATCTCCAACATTGATAACACAGACTTGTATGAAACTGAGTCACAAATAAAATAAATGACAAATGAGTTGTTTAAGGAGTGACATGTCATTTTGTTGAACAATCTGACATCAGATACTAAATCAACGTACTACAGTGTGTAGGCTTGATGGGAATGATCATTATGTGAATGTTTATATGTATGAAACATCAACAGTCATCTGATAAAAGTCATGATTATTTTGCAGTCCATCAGTTTTAATTGCCCATTCATTCATTATCATCACTTCCTGCTAAATTACTCAACAAATATCCTGATGTGATCCTATTAATTCCCCAATTCATAAATTATTTACTGCCAAATTATTCAACAAATATCCTGATGTGATCAAAGTAATTCCCCAATTCATACATTATTTTCTGCCAAATCATTAAAAAAATATCTTGATGTGATCCTTGGTTCTCTAAAAGTTTGTATTGATTCTAAATTAAATCAGATTGTTATGCAAACCATCGAAGTATTTGTTAGATTCCTTTGCTCATTTTTCTGCTGAAGATCCGTGGTTCTCTCTGGCTTTCTCCACCAATAAAAACTGACTGCCACGAGATAGCAAATAGTGCTGAAAGTGGTGTTAAACAATTCCTGTATGTGTTCAAATGCCTGGTTTTGTATTGTCAATCTGCATTTTCAATTTTTATTTCCTTAATCTTATAAATCATTCATTATATATAGAGATATAATTTTGCTGCTTTTTTATAAGAAAAAATATATATCAGATAAGTGAAGTCAATGAAACCACTAATCTAAAAAAATGATACAGTGTACATTTGCCATCTACAATGATTAGCATTCAGAAATTAAAAAATTTCACAATATTTTGATCTTATTTTTCAGAATGGGATGACACCACTGTTGGTGGCCTGCTATATAGACAGTATAGATTTAGTGGCTGAGCTACTGAGGGCTGATGCTTGTGTTAACAGTGTTAATAATGTGAGTCAAAACTCTATAGGGAGATCAAGATTCTGAAAATTTGCCAAGTCTGATTTCTCTGTTTTCATAAAAAAAAAAGGGCTAAAATCACGGTAATATTGTGTCTACTTTTGGAACTTTGGTTAAGCAAAATACAAAACTAACAGAATTTGTTAATGATCATGCTAAAATAATCAGTAAAGAGTAAATAAATTACATATTAAGATGCAGTCAGTTGATGATTTTTTTGTTTAATTTCATGACTCAAATGAAAAAAAAAAATCTTCAAAATATTCCATAACAGCAGATGCACAACTCCAATATGTGTGCAATCTTTTTGTCAAGTCTCAGGAATCTGGGTTGAAAACAGTAGGAGGAGTTGATTACACAAAATAGGTGCAAATGTTTCCCTGCTTACCTAACTGCAAGTATGACATCCCCATATTTTAAGCTAATGTTTCACTTTGTGAAACCCATTTAAACATATGGTTTGATTTTTTTTCTGTTGTATCACTTACAATAACTTCAAAGATGAAAACCAAATTGAAATCTTTTTTCATGTCTAGATTGTAGAAAAGATTAAGCATAGAAATAAAGGTTTTGCTTATTTTTTGGAAAAATGCCAATTTTAGAAGGTCAATGTTAAAGTAAGTATAATCCTGTAAAATTTACAGTTTTATTAAAACTTTGGTTATTTATAGACTACTAAATATCATTACATAATAGTTGAATTTTTAATTGCAGAATTATAAGTTAGCCAAAAAACTCTTATCATACTATACATGACCCTTTAAAATATTTTAAACAGTGTCAAGAAGGAGAGTCTGACAAACTGTTACAGAAACCATGGCGAAAAATATAATCAACTCTCAAAACAAGTGCAGCAACTCACAAAAATAATAAAACACACAATCGTTTTTTTACAATTGATGGAAATAGTGAGATGATAAAAGAAGGTAAAAATGTGAAAAGCAAATGTTTGACAATGAATTCAGGATTTATCTATCAACAGATCAAAGAAAGAAATCCTGCAGATGACCCACAGAAAATTGGTATTCTGTCATCTAAGAGTTATGATGTTCTTATAATATATTAAATGATCTGATATCACAATATGAAAAATAATCATTTGTTTTTGTATTTTTCAGACTGGACATTCTGCCTTGTACTTGGCTGCTAAGAATGGTAACAACCAAATTGTAGATTTATTATTACAGTATAAGCCAAGAGTCAATGCTATGTCTAAGGTAAATATTAATCAGATGTTAAAAAAGGGGGGGGGGGGTGCCTAATATTTCAGAAAAAGTTGACTTAAAGAGTTGGCTCAGAAACTTTAGTACTATATATGTGCCTTTGACTTATACCCATAAAACCATTAATTCACAGAGAGGTCATTTTCTATATAAAAACACTTTTGATGGGCATATATAATTTTTTCTCCCCTTCTCAGTCAGACGACCTCAGTTGTCTCGTAGGAGCATGCTTGTCAGTTGTTGGTTCCAACACTGGCCAGGTCAAACCAAACTTGTAAATTCGTATTTGCTACTTCTCTGCTTTGCTCATGCAGCAGATTGGGAGTAAATGTAAAGACTAGAGTTATTGACATATTATTGGTATAAAATTGCATTGAAACTAGGTTCATTCTTGATCTATTATTGCAAATTAAGCCATGTCTTAGGTAAATCATGTCAACTTTAGTAACAAATAAATCATTGATATATTGCCTAGATTTAAGTCATTAATTCATACCTAATAGCAATGGTTTTCTGTTGTCAGCTTGTAAACAAATTATGTAAGAGTAGAAAAAAAATATTAGAAGTTTACATAGATCTTTATAACTTCTCTTTGTTCATTGCCATTACTTCTTGTCAAAATAATAACAAATTAGAAATACTTAATGATAGTGTTGACAAATTAGAAATATTTGATGCAAAGACCAAGGCCACACCAAATCGATGTATTGTTGTATAGATTTTTTCTGTTAATACTGAATATAGGGCAAAGTGAGAAATATTTTAATTTTCTTTTATGAAGTTACAAAGAGCTAATGGACATATCAAAATATGAAATGGAAGTTGAATTCATTTAAAGGATTTTACCAGAGGGACAGAGCAATTATTTTTATTTTTATTTGAAAATTCAAGATTAGTTGAAACAAAAAGGATTTAAAATTAAAATTAAACACAATGTGTTAAAGTGAGGAATTCAAATTAGGAGATAGCCTTTAATTATATAAGAACAACAAATCTATTTGGTGTCTCCTTGAATGGCAATTTTGTTACTACTTTTTTTTTTGAGTAGACACTATAAGCTGTTTTGAATGAATGAGAAAGTCCTAAAGCTTGATAAAAAGTACTGCTATTTTTAACTTTGTTACTTTTTATAGTTCAGTGGTATGACAGCTCTTCATGAAGCTTCACACAAAGGTCATCATCAGGTCGTACAAACTTTGTTAGAGCATGGAGCTGATGTGAATGCTCTGGATAAGGTGAGTTCAACAAAGTTAATAAAAGTATAATTACTAAAAAAACAATGGCATTCATTTTCACCATGATTTGTTTAATTTAAATTGATTAAAGATTTCTTTCCTTGGAAAGTTAAGTTTTCTTTATTTTATTAGTTTTAAAATTGTATGACTATCAAGTTTACAGAAATTTGTATGACTATCAAGATTACAGAAATTTGTATGACTATCAAAATTACAGAAATTTGTAAGTCTATCAATATTACAGAACATGAAAAGACTGATGTACAAGATTTTGAATGGTTACTCCACCTTTAACTGATACTGAAAGGGGATGAATATTTGTTAAATTAAATTTCCATAGATATTTTTTATTTGTTATTTCAGTTTTTTCTTAACTTTTGGTGTTGTCCACTTTTAGATGCTTAGATTACCTGTATACATAAATGTGCTGTTGGGTTACTGTCTTGTTGATGTTTGGGCTAAATATCTATTTACTTAAATAATTTGTGAAATTTGTAAAATAAAATTCAGCAAATAGTTCTTAGTTTTAACATTTACAATTACATTGTCTTTAAACATACATTTCAGATGAATAAGATGCCTGAATTCTATGCAGCAAACCAAGCAACAAAAGATTTATTTAAGAGATTTAGAGAGAGGTACCCACAATACAACATCTCACACGAAACAAACGGATTCCGACCTAAAACAGATGATTCAGAGATTGATGAGATATTGAAAAAATATGCAGAAGACAGCAAGAAACCAGAGGATAATGAGAAGCTTGAAGAGTTATTCAAACCACTTAGTTTTGAGGACATTTATAAAAAAAATGGTGATGAGGGAACAAACAAATCATATAAAAGAGAACCTGTCGTTCCAAAGCAGTTCTCTCTCAATACAGAGCTTGGAACAGAGGGCAAGATTTCATCAACAAGGGATTTAATTCAGAAAAAGCTAGACGAATATAAAGTGCCACCAAAGCAAGATTCTCAATATTCGAAAAGAGTGGCTTCCCAAAAGGTGGCACCTATGGAAGAGTCCCAAAAGGTGGCACCTACAGAAGGTACTCAAAGAGTGGCAACAGAAGATACTCAAAAAGTTACACCAACAGAAGATACTCACAAAATGGAACCAACTGAAGTTTCTCAAAAAATTGAACCAATTGAGGATTCTCAAAAAGTGGATTCAGCTGAAAATTCTGAGAAAATCAAAGCAAGGAAAATGAATGTTTTTGACAGATTATCTAAAAAGTAATATATCTTCAGACAATTTGAGAAAAATAAATCGCTCACACTCAAAACATTTTGATGCAAGTGACAAGGTTCATGTGCTTTTCTCAAAGGAATAATAAGCTTCTATGTACAGATAATTCAAATTCTTCAAATGGATAAAAACTTCATCATTTAGTTGATTATTTTATAAATTCTTAATAAAGTTACATTCAAGATTCTAGATTTATATTTTGAATAAAAGAGATGAAATGATTTATGTCAACTAGACAGCCACTAAATGACATATTATTAACTGAAATATTATTAAATGCTGATCCCCTACAGTGAATGTATAAAGGCACATAACCCTACCTACCAAATGTAGAGTTAACTCCACTTACCAGATTATTCAATTCATGAATTTCTTTGTTTCTTTGAACTGTTTCTGTGATTTTCTTCTGTAAATCATTCAACTGGTTACATTCTCTGTCTGAAGTTACCTGTAAAACAAAATAAACTGTTGACACAAAGAAATGTTTTATATTATAAAGAAAAAGTTAAAATTAAAATAACAAAACTTTAATATGTTACCTATGTAAATATATGCAAAACTTGTAAGTCAATGAATATGATATCTCTGTAGAAATCAATGAACAATGACTGAGGATAAATATGATATCTCTGTAGAAATCAATGAACAATGACTGAGGATAAATATGATATCTCTGTAAAAATCAATGAACAATGACTGAGGATAAATATGATATCTCTGTAAAAATCAATGAACAATGACTGAGGATAAATATGATATCTCTGTAGAAATCAATGAACAATGACTGAGGATAAATATGATATCTCTGTAAAAATCAATGAACAATGACTGAGGATAAATATGATATCTCTGTAAAAATCAATGAACAATGACTGAGGATAAATATGATATCTCTGTAAAAATCAATGAACAATGACTGAGGATAAATATGATATCTCTGTAAAATCAATGAACAATGACTGAGGATAAATATGATATCTCTGTAAAAATCAATGAACAATGACTGAGGATAAATATGATATCTCTGTAAAAAAGAGATATGCTGATGATTATGCAACTGCATACAAAATATCATTGACTTTGAAACTTTTCCATATAAAATTAGGAGATGTGGTATGATTGCCAATGAGACAACTATCCAACAGAGTCCAAAAAGTTTACATGTTGAAGTTTGTGACAGCTTAGGTCTGTTTGATAGGGAATGGAAAAGTCTAAAATCAATGAACCATTACTGTGGCCTTGGAAATGAGATGTTCTAATGTGAATACAACTGCATACCAAATATTATTGACTTTAACATGTCAAATATGAAAAACATTCAAAGTCAATGAAGCAAGACTGAAGGTTCAGGATCAAATCATATCTGTGAAAATGAGTTATGTCAATGCTAATTCAAATGCACACCAAATATCATTGATTTATCATGAGTAGTCCCTTTAAACTTTCAAGCTTAGAACTAATTACAAACTTTTAACAAATTGATGATGCAACCCAAGCCTGAAACAGCACTCCTACCTAAGTCAAAGAGATAAAAAAAAATCTATTATGAATAAGAAAAGTGGGAAATGTATTAAAAAGACAGCAATTAAATATCAAAAACAAAAAGTAATAGAAGAAAAATAGAAGTCAGCATACAGTTCTTATGATAGGGACTTTTGTGGCTTACTGTGCGGTATGGGTTTTACTCATTGTTGAAGTCTGTACAGTGACATATAGTTGTTTACATCATTTCCTTTGATATCTAGTGGATAGTTGTCTAGCTTGCAATTATACCACATCTCCTTATTCTTAAAATTATACTCATCAAAAACCACTCTTATAAATGCAACTTGTTTGGTTTTTTTACAAGCAATGCCTCAGGATACTAGTATTACAATAAATAAAGTAAAAATATAATAACAAGCTTTGATCTATATAAGCATAAATTTAATCATATCTTGGTAAACTTACTGGTCCTGATACTTTAGGTATAAGAGGAGGTGGTAAAGCAGACAGAAACACAGCTGTGGCAGTCTGAAATCAGAATAAGTAAACATAATCATTTCTAACCTCAAAGTTCTAATATTCGTACATGCTTTTCTATGACCACTGAAACATATACTGTGCTGTTCATAATAAGAACCAATTCATAAGTATACATATATTTAATATTTGTTTTTCATTCATTGTTTTTGCATAAATCAGGTTGTTGTTTGTCTTGTTTCGATTAATTCACATAATAGAATGACAGGGCCTGTTACAGCTTACTGTATGGTATGGGTTTTGCTCAATTTTGAAGGTGACCCATATATATAGTTGCTTTTCTCTAATTCTTTGGCAATTAAATCTTTCTGGACTCATTGTTATACAAATTTAATCAATTTAATTTCAAATTCACAAAACAAAACAAAACAAGGTCATAAGAAGAATGCGTCCATTGGACACAGAAGCCCCTGCTAGTAACTATGCAAGAGTCAATGTATTAATTCAAACTTTTGAGCATAGAAATGAAATGTGTGGTCAGTATAAATAACAGTTAGAGTTCAAACAAAAGAAATTCTTCCATTTATAGAGGTGTATAACACACTTATTCAAACTAACATGTGTTTGGTTGTGCATAAGTTTCATAACTTTTGGTTGAAGCAATTGGGTATGGAATTGGCAGGTTCATCAATTATTCCATTTATAAAGAGACATAATTCAAAGACAGTAAAAGTGATGCGTCCCCAATTCGAACTGGATCTGTGTTTGGTGGCAATAAGCATTGTGTTTAAGTTTCAGAACATTTGGTTTTGGCAAAGTAAAGTTGGTGTGGAAACAGCAAACTCAGCAATTTTTCTGTATATAAAGAGACACAAATCGAGAACAGTGAAAGTGATCCCACCTAAATTTGGACTTGATCTGTGTTTAATGGTAATAAGCATTGTGTATTAGTTTTATAACATTTGGTTGAGGCAAACTAAAGAACAGAAACCAATTTTGTGATGTATGGATAGAGGTACGGATGTACAAACGGACAAGGGTAAACTTTAACATGCTTAATGCCCCATCTGCTTAAGGGTGGGTGCATTAAATTACTAAAAAAAAACATTCTATTAAGGATGTATACCTCTGAGGAGCTAAAAATTTCTAGAATAAAACTTTTTTTCTTAACCTGATTTTTGGGTTTATATGACTGTAAGAAAGTAATTGATGAAGAAAAAATCATATGGTGGTGTACTTCTTTTTTTGCTACGGCCATTTAATAGTACTCCATTTTTGATGATTTTCCCATTTTCATCAGTTTTTACCCATTTTTGGGTTATTATCATGAAAAAAATCAATTTCACAATTTATAACTTTTTTTCACACTTTCACTAAAGATGAAGTGGTCCAATCAGAATAAATTTAACTTAAAAAAACTATAAGAAGGTGTTAATATAAGAAAGTTCTATAAAATTTTGTTACTTTTTTGTGTCAAATCAAGGATTTGTATAGTACTATACAAATCCTTGGTCAAATTGACCATGCAGCCAATTTTGTAAATTTAGGATTTTTCTCTTTTTTTTTCGAACAAAAAGCATATTATTTCAACTTCTTTGTTATAAATGACTGAAAAAATACATATCTAAGAATTTTGAAAAGAAAAAATTGATATGGGATCTACATATTTTTGGTAAAATCATTTCTTTGTACCCCTTACCCATTTTCTCAACATTTTGGCTGATGACACTGACCGCATTGGTTATAACATTTAAAAATGTTATTACTCAAAAACTACTTATTGTAAATACACAATTTTTTCACAGAGTTAAGTTTGATTATAATATTTTTTAAATTCATTGATATTTTCCCCTTGCATCAGATGTTTCGGAAATTGTTCCCGAAAGAGATTTCAACAAAACTGAAACATCAGAAGAATACATCCTTTACCTGAACTCATGGGTTAGTGATTAGTCCAAAGTCAGGACCATGAATTTCAGTGGTATTCATTAGTTCATGTCTGTCGTATTTGTTTTTGCATTGTTATAAATTAGGCTGTTAGTTTCCTTGTTTGAATTGTTTCTCATTTCTCATGTCAGGGCCTTTTATAGCTGACTATACCTTATGGTTTTTTTGTAATTGTTGAATAATTTACAGTGACCTATAATTGCTTATATCCACGTCAATTAACTCTGGGGTATAGAATCGATATTGAATAATATTTAAATATTTTATAACATCTGAATTGTTAAATATAAAAATAAGGAGAGGTGGTATGATTGCCATTGAGACAACTATTCACCAGAGTTTAAATGAAGTGGATATAAGCAATTATAGGTCAGATATAAAAGGCCCTGACATGACAAAATGTTTCATACAGAAAGTACAAACATTTAACAAATTTGATGATACTACATAAATAACACATATATGAGAGGGTGATAGAGCAGATTGTTACCCCAAGAAAAACATTGTCAACTTGAGTTCAAGAAACTAAACATAACATTGACCAATGAACCATGAAAATGAGGTCAAGGTCATGTGAACCCTGTCATACAGACATGTTAACAATATAATCATTCAATACAAACAATAGAGTTGACTTATCATTTGTAGCTTCTGAGAATAGGACCTTATCGAAAAACTAAATGTTGACCAATGATCCATGAAAATGAAGTCAAGTTCAAATGAATCCTATCATAACATGAATCATAGTACATCCCCTTTTACTAACAGTACTGTTGATTCATTACTAATCTGTGGATAAGCAGATAACAATTTTCGTGAATTCGTGGGTAAAGGTAAACCAAGAATTTGAATTTTCAATAAAATACAAATTTTCAAACGCTTAATATGCAAGCATTGACAAAACCAAAAAAATCAGTCCACAAAAATTGGTACCCTAAAAATAAACGAGTCCACAGTATCTTAGAAACAGACCTAATCTCAACTTAACATAGATACCCTAACCATGAAAATTGAGTCAAAGTTAGATGAACACTGTCAGATTGTCATGTACATCTTATAAACAATATCACTGAAATATAACTTGCATTATCTTGGATTATGGACCTCACCATGAAAACTACAACATTGAACAATAAACCATGAATATGAGGGCGATGTCAAATGAACCCTATAAGATGGACATGTATACCTTACAATTATATATACCTAATATATTTGACCTATTGCTTATAATGTTGGAGAAGCCAACCAAATCACTAAATGCACATTGATTGTGACAAAGTAAAGTTAGAGTGTGGAAACAGCAAATTATGCAATTTTTCCATTTATAAAGGGACGGACAGACGAATAATCTCGGGGGAGACAAAAACCAAATGCAAAAAAAGGACTAGTGCTGTCAGTGCTTTTATTGCTCTTCTTCATCTAAATTATTACAGTGAGACCTTCAACAAGGAGCAAATGCTTACACCTCACATCAAGTTCAAGAAACCCTAGCATTTGTTAGAAAGGAATTCATTTCTATATGTTGACCATGCTACCTCTGCACATTAAACAACACAGCTATGGGGGTAATGCAAACAATTATTGAGTAGTGAAATCTAATAAAACTTTCATAAATTGCCCAACAATGTCACCACCAATAACAAAACAATGCAAACATTTACAAAACCACAGTGAAATAGTATGGTATATAAAAAGGGCACACAATTCTGATGGAGTTGCATGCAACATAAGTTAGCTCAAGAATGGTTGCAGTCTCATTGACATATACCCCAAATCTCCTTTAATTCATATCTATTGTCAACATATAGTCTTTAATGATATAAGAAGTGTCTTGGCCATATATCAAGATATAAATTACTGAAGTCTAGACAAGAGTTCCTTTTTTGTTTGTTGCTGTATATCATATTTGTTTTGTGAATAAATCAGGCTGTTTCTCTTTGAATTGTTTTACTTTTTTCATTATGGGGCCTTTTATAGCTTACTATGTTGTATGGGTTTTGTCTATTGTTGAAGGCCGTATGGTGACCTATAACTGCTTTTATCTTCGTCATTTGAACTCTGGTTGATAGTTGTCTCATTGACAATCATACCACTTTTTCTTATTTCTACGACAAAACAAAACAAAAGGAAACAACTTTAAAGACAACCACTGACTAAATGTTCTCAACTTTGAATTGGTGTTGTTTTGGTGTTGTTTTGGATATATTGTGTTGTTTGACAGCTGTGTTACTGATATTACCAAAGGATATTTTTGATAACTTATTGTTACTAAGTGATAAGAGGTTAGGTACGACATTTATGCCAGAACACTGTTAAATAACACCAAACAAATCCATTATCTTATATATATTTATTAACTAAAACATCCAATATAGACAGAAACTCAGAAAACAAAAAAGATAACATTATTTTAATTTAACCTCAAACACATTCACACTAATTTCATACTTTCTCCGACAATTGGACACAATTATAAAAAAATTATCAATTGACAATGAGACTAATAAAAAATATTTATTGACTATTAGAATAGTTTGTTGCTAATATCCTTCCTAAAGCACACAGTACATACTCTTGCACACATGAAATATCAAATCAAGTAATATTTTTTTTTATAAAAATATACACATGCAGGCATGTCTTTACACATATACACATGTCTTTACATATATAAAACATGTCTTTACAAAATATACACATGTCTATATTCTATACATAATATATACACATGTCTTTAAATAAACACACTTCATTATTTACAAAGCACTAACTAATAAATAATGTTTACTTCATTTCAATGTAACATGTATAGTGACCTTTCTATCTTGTTTTGGAAAAGAAATAAAGAAATATTTTTTTTTCATATGAAGTCATTTTCTTTTTTTTTCTTATTCAATGTTCATATTGCAAAACTTGATAGAGAGTTTAGAAGGCTTAATTTCTGCCCTTACAGTGTCATGCCATTTTCAGTTGAGACAATTTCTGTCAAAACTATTATAAGTTGTAAGCTAAAATGAATTATTCATGCATTCTGTGGCCATACATAATTTTTACACTGAACTTTTCAATACAAAATCAGATATCTCAAAAAGGTTTTGCAA